GTGCAAATGTCTCCTGGTAGTCGATCTCATAAGGTTGAACGAATCATTTTGCTATAAGTGTAGCCTTGACCATTTCTATGCTCCTATCTGTTTTGTATTTATCATTGAATACCAATTTGAACCCCACAATTCCTTTCCCAGGTGACAGAGTTGTTGTAATACAAGTACCTTTCTTTTCAAGGACAAGAATCTCTTCCTTCACAACCTTTTTCAAAGAAGGATTATATAAGGATTAGTGGAATGAATTTGGGAGCTGAACATTATCAATGTTATTAACAAAAGACTTGCAAGAGGATGATAATTTTCCATGTCATAAATTTTTATATTGGGCATTTTGTGCATCCTTGTGCTCCTTCCTCTTGGTGTTCATGTTATGTTGGCCCAAACTTTGTGTGATTATTTGGTTGTGTGGAGTTGGTTCCGGTGATTTACATTCTTGATTTTGCTTATTGTCCCTTGTTTACTGTGTTTTTTTTTCTGGCATACACACAGAGTTCTTGATTCTTGGTGAGAGCTGTGAGAGGATTTAGTGGTTTAATAGGTTCATTTTTCAGGTTAGTTTGTGATAATGGGTATAAGAATGAATTCACCACAGATATAAGGGAGGCGAGCTTGAGTTTCTTGAATGGTATCTCGATTCTCTTGAATTTTAAAGTTTGGGGTAATATGGTTGATTTTCAAAGAATGTGACATCCATAGAAGTTGTAAAATTTTTGTGTTTCTGAGTAGTATTTGCACTCCTTATTTGTTTGAAGAGTAGTTCACAAATATGCATTTGATAGACTTAAGATCAAGTTTGTTCGATTGATGTAGATGAAAAAAGCAATGTAACAAAAACTTTTTAATGATGGTTTAGAGGTGGATTGAATATGCGGGTAATTTTATGAGGGTGCTGAGAGGACTGTTGAAGTTTAGCACTCTGCTGTGCCTCCTATTTATGGGATAGGTGAATGTGAGAATTAAATCCCCCATAAGTGTTTGGGTACATTATTAGTGAATAGAATTGATCGAGTCACTTCATGGAGATGTCTTTGTTCTTTCTCTCAGTAACACCATTTAGTTGGGGCGTGTTAACACACATGCTTATATAAATAATATCATTTTCGGATAGATAAGAGCTGAGAGTGGAGTTGTAATCTTTTGTTTTTTGGATTTTGAGAAGTTGAATTTTGGTTTGAAATTTGGTGAATATCACGTTGTGGAAAGTTTTAAATTTGCTGATAGTTTCAAAATTTTCCTTCATAAGAAAGCTCTGAGTGATTTTGGTGTGATCATCAATGAAAGTAACAAAGTACCTAACTCCATTTGTATTTTTTATTTTTAAAACCCCCGGATATTACTATGAACCATAGGGAAAGGATGTGTTAGTTTGTATTTCAGGCTTGGGTACATTTGTCCAGAATATTTAGCAAGTTGTTAAATTTCACACCGATAAAAACTAAGCTTTTTATTGATAAATAAATAGGGATATAATTTTTTAATCAAATAGAAATTAGGATTCCCAAGGCGAAAATTCCATAACTCAACTTGACTCTTATAAAAACAGACTCGGATACAAGTCTTGCGTCAGAAGATTATGAATGATGAGATGGTCTTTTTGAAGTAGGAGTCTTAGTGAGAGTTTATGATACATATTTGCACTAGCTATCACTTCCCCCTAGTTTATCACCTAAAATTCACACAAATTATGGTAGAATTTAATAACATGATTCATGTTACGAATGGATTTGCTATTAGGTGGCATATTGCAGTGAAATTTAGGAACATAAAACACAAATTGAAGAATAACATTTCTATATTAGTTTTAGACATCCTCTTCACATCCTCTTCCTTCCACAGATGAAAGGGAGTCATCTGTGATTCTAACTGCAGCATGATGTTCGCAAAATGAAATGATTGGAAAACAATGATATCACGTCATTTGATCATATGCTCTAGAGTTTAGGATCAGTAACTTTTGGTTTCATATCTTCTTAAGTGAGATGATCATTTTTTTCTTTATCACAGATGTACCTGCAGACAGATTAAGTCCATTGAAGGAAATTGTTACAATGTAGTTTGTGATTTGTGATGCAGGAATATACTTCAAATGCTGCAAAACTAAACATGTTAAGTTCTGTTTCAAACATAACTTCTAAAGAGGAAGAAACAACTTTTATGTCGTATTTAATCATCATCAGGATTTTCACTAGAGACTGAAGCCGTTTATCGTCAACACAAGATTTTCACTAGGAAAAGATATTGTTTGTTCCAACAAAAAAAAAAAAATGAAACTCGTTTGCCTTTTATTTTATCGTCCACTTCCTATTTCACATTTGCCTTTTGTTTTATTTCTAGGTATCTCAAAAGAGCAGCCCATTTTTGTGCTCTGTTTGATTTGTCTCAAGTTTTTTACTTGGAAACTTAGAAATTATGAATCCTTGCTTTTAAGTTTCCTTAGGGCTAACAAGGACAACAATTCATATGATTAAATGGATATTTTTGTAAGTATTTTGGTTTTTAAACGCAACATGCACATAAAATGAGGCAATTTTATGTGTTTTTTAATGTAATTTTGTCCTTTTCTCCTTATTTATCATAGTTTTACTCTTGAGAAAATTTGTTTTTGGTGTTTTGTAGGTTAGAGTGACTTGAACTCGCATTTCAGGTGATAAAACAATGAATTCATAGAAGCCAAACTGGCGTAACCACTCCTAGAATTGGTGTAATTACGCCACTCGCTTTGTCAGACAGACGTGATTACACCAATCTCAGGCGTTACTACGCCATATTGGCTTTACTACGGTGCATTCGGGCATGACTGCACAGCTCGACGATCTGCACGACATGACTACGCCGGGTTCGGGCATGACCATGTTGCCGAGGCTGTTTCTACACTTGAAAAGATTTACTTTGCAAAACATGGACAAGGACTATAAGAGGAGATGTTAGAGCATGTTTTGGAAATCTTGGGCGGCTGGAGGCTGAAGTTGGGGATAATTTTGGAGAGTTTGAGAGTTTCCTTAGGTGTTCTTCTTCCTTGCTTGAGGGAGGAAGCCTTGAGGGCTGTTTTCCTCTTCTTTACTTATTGTTTTCTTATTTTCATGGAGAGAAACTTTTAGGAGAGTGAGATCAAATGTTGTGGAGGAGAGGAGAAACTTTGTTGTAAGTCGTTTTTACGTTGTAATGCTTCTTGCATCATTGATTTCAATGGAAGGCCTTGTGTTATTTCTCTTCTCTATGTGTAGCTAAATCTTTTTCGTGCCTTTGTGATGTAGAATAATGATTCTTTGCGGTTTTCTTGCATGTTTTTCCCTAAAAGTTTTACGATCTTTTCATGAATCCATGTTGTTGGTTAACTTTCTAGTCTTCATTTACTCATGTATTGGCCAATTAAGATATTAAAACTTATCGTGAACTATAACTTTTGCCTGCCGCGTAGTGAAACGATTAGGTTAACCACAAAACCTGGTAGAATAGACATATTCTAGTTATGATTTTGTAACCTGGAAGAATTCTGTGAAAAGCCATAGGTTTAAACAAAACTTAACTTCATGGGTTTCTGATTCTTGTTCTGATCTAGGCATAGGCTTAATGACAAAATGTTATTCCTGGTTGACAACTGCCACTTAGGAGAACACTTAAGAAAACCATGGAATTGCACCACGCCTGAGTCACAAAGGTACGGGCCCATCCCTCTTGAAGAACACTAAGTTTTTTTCCAGTTCTTAAACATCTTGTTCTTGTTTTTTATTTTGTACTTAGAATTTTAGAATTGATTTATGATGTTGCTATCATGCTAAGCTAGACATCTGAATTTAGTAAACTAGAGATTTTTCTGTTGGAATAATTGTTTTCTCTTTCATCGTGAGATTAATATGCGGACTCTGAAAATGCATATTATCTGGATTGTATACTTGTGTGCTTGACCATTTGTCTCATAGAAATCTTCATACATCAGCAAACTTTCTAGGATCAAGCTTCATCCTGGAACACGATTGTCAGAATATTGAGAAGGTTTTTTAATTATTTTTTTGTAGGGGTTCTGGATGCTCTTACCGGACAGTTACAAGAGGATGTACCTTGGTGTATGCTTTTTGTTGATAATATCCTTCTTATGGATAAGACTATTGAATATGCTCAGGAAAAAAATGAATTATGGAGGTCTACTTTGTAGTCTAAAGCCTTGCCTTTGAGTGAAACTAAAACTTTATATATGGAATATAATTTTAGTAGTAGTAGCTCTAGCGACAGAGTTGTAACTATGGGTGATCAAATTATTAAAAGGCTTGAATGCTTTAGATATCTTTGGTCTATTTTGGTCTATTGTTCAAAGTGATGGCAAAGCGATTGAAAATAGATGGGGATATGATTGGTAGAATTCAAATTGGTTGATTGAAGTGGAGGAATGCTTCGGGCCTATTGTGTGATAGAAAAGTACCACTTAGAATGAAAGGAAAATTTTATGAGATGGTGGTGAGACCTGCAATGCTCTATGGCGTAGAATGTTGGCCTTTAAAAGAGAAGCATAAAACTAAGTTAAGTGTTGTCGAGATGAGAATGCTTACTTGGATGAGTAGCTATACACTTAGAGATAAAATGTGAAATGAATATATCCATGATAGAGTTGGTGTAGCTCCAGTGGCGGATAAAATTAGAGAATCGTCTTAGATGGTTTGGTCATGTTAAACATCTATCATCTGTTGATCCAGTTAGGAGATTAATGCTTTAGATGCGACTTATGTTAAGAAAGATCGAGGTAGACCAAGATGGATTTGGGCATATTGTATAAAAAATGATCTTAATTTATTAGAATTAAATGAAAATATGACACTCAATAGGACACAAATGAACAAAAAGGTTTGTTGTTGTTATTGTTGTAATCATCTATAATTCGGTTGATAATTTATTGTTGTACTGCATGGAGAATGATTATATGCTATTTTCTATTTTCACTGAATATCTGTATAACAATTTCATGAGTATGTGCTTTGAATATTTTTTTTAACCGAGTTGTCCAGGGAAATGGCCTTTGAAGGCCTTCATCTAAGCAAAGATCAAGAATTATTGAATGGTGCAGATGATAATGTTAATTATCCTAAGTTGAAAGATATGCTGAATTACATTTGTTTGCGGCAGCCAAAATTGTTAGATTCTAGTGAGCACAGGGAGAAGGAACTTCTTTTTCCTTCAAAGACTTATTTTGCTATGGCTAGGTTTTTGTTGAAGTGCTTTAAGGCAGATTGCAGAAGATGTGATTCTGAAACAGATGAGTTTAGAGCTGCAGTATCGACGTATTGCCAAGTTTTAGAGCATGGAATGGCTTTTGATGGATCTGTTGAGCTGCATGCTACTTCCATGAAGGCTTTAGTTGAGATTGGTTCTCATCAGCCCAAGGTTATTTCCATAATTTTGATTTGTTTATGAGGTAACGTTTGCTCACCTTATTATCATTTTTTTTCTGTTGTTTCTTTCCCCGTTGCAGTTGGTGGCATCCCGATATGCAGATCGCTTGTCTTGGCTACAAATTTTCTGGTCTCATGTTGATTTTGATACTCGTGAAGCTGCATCAAGGCTACTGGGAATAGCTTGTTCTACAATTTCTTCCACCGAGGCTGCTGCTTTAACCACCGAACTACTCTCTTCAATAAATACCAAATTGTTGAGGTCCGCTTAACTGATTAGCAGAGATTTGTATTTACATTCAAGAGAAAATATCAAAATGGTACCTCGAATCTTTGTAGGGAGTCATTTTACCCCTAGCATCTATAAATATGCCAATTTAGTCACCAAAATTTTTTAATGGTAGCTGAATAGTCGTGGCTAAAATATTCCTCCATGGTAATTGTTTTAGCCCATATTAAAGGAGTATGGAGATTAATTTGACACTTTTAAAGACCCTGGGACTAAAATGAGGCTAATTTGACACTTTTAAAGAGTCTAGTACTAAAATGATCCAATGTAAATAGTCAAGGACTGTTTTAACATTCTACTCTTACATTTTCTTAATGATGCAGGTTTGAAAATCACCATGGGCTTTTGTGCACCATAGGGTACGTTGTAGCAGAGTGCATGAGGGAAGTTCCCAAAGTAATTTTCCATTCACTATGGTTATTTATGTTATTTTAAGTTGAAAATGATATACTTTTTTTTTCCCCTAATATCCTTAATTATGAAGATTTCTATGTCTATTGGCTGCTGGGACTGATTTTGAATTTAAAATTCTGTGACCTAAACTTAGGACCTATTTCATGATTTGTCACAAGTATTCCACTCGCCTGTCAGCTTAACATCAACCTTTCACTTCAGCTTGGGACTGATAATAACTTTTTTAAATGACAAATAATCAATTCGGCTAGATTATTAGGCTTCCCTTCTAACTAGTGCGTGAATATGTGACTAGAATATCAGCTTCATTCTACCTAGTGTGTGAATATATGATGTGCTTTGCTATAAATACCTACTAGATGCTAAGTTCATCCTTATTGTATGATAAATTAGGAAAAATACAAAATTGTCATGTGAAATGTGGTTTAACATCTTAAATTTTTCTTCTTGTGCTCGTCTATGTAGGTTATGCATTGTTTCATTCTATTGATATTATTTATTGGATTTTTTTGTGTTGACATCTTGTCTAATACATTATTTGTAACCTAAAGATTTTTAATCCTCCATCTTGAGTCTATTCTGCCCAAAGTTTACTGCACTTTGCATGTAATGCTCAAGTTATTAGTTATTCAATTGCTTAAGCCTTAATTACTTGTTAGAGGTTATATTAGGAAGTAATTTATTCCTGTTATAAATTATGTATATTGGATTTATTTCTTTAGATTAGATTTGTTTCCTTGGATTGGATTAATTTCCTTTCCTATTTTATGCTTTCCTAATTTATATTGTCATGAATATTTGATTTATTTCTTTTTCTATTTTATGATTTCCTATTTTATGTTATTTACTTTATCTCCAAGTAATTATTAATAATTGATTAATTGGAGATATAGGTGTTATATTTTTTCTTTCATGTTATTTTTTTATTTTTTTTTTTGTCTTTTCTATTCTAGGATCCATTTAAGGATATTTATACCATCTTTTCGTATCAATAAAATAAATTCGTTGAATTTTGAAAATCAATATGACACCAGAGCCTTGAAGCAAACCTTAAGGTGTCTTGTCGCCGAAAACTTCCTATTCCTTGCAGCCGACAATCTTTGTCCTGCTGCAAGCCCTTCCTCCCTCTTCTTTTCAATTTTTTCTATCATAAATTTCCTCTCCCTGCAGGCCTAGCTGTCGGAGCTCTCTCCCTGCAAGCTCTAGTTGCTGGAACACCTAACACCAGAGGACCTAGCCTTCGAAACTCCTTACTACAAGAACTAGCTGCTGGAACCTCTTGCAGACCGCCAACAACTATTTTTTCTAGCTACCGGCCCCTTCTTGCTAGATTTCCCCAGTAGGACTTCCTCTGCATTGACACTTTCTTGTAGGCGCGTCTCTCCTCATCTCCTTGAATTGCATCTCCTTGCTGAGGAAGTTCCGACTGCCTGGAGGCCCATATCCCTTTCTCCGGATTTTTTTTCTTGCTTTTTGGATATTTGCTGCTGGAGCATCCTAAAGCAGCGTGCAATCTCTCAATAACATCATCATCACATCATCATCTTCTTCAAGAACAATATCTGCTTTGTTATCCGTTATATGGGAAAGAACATCTGGGCTTGTTGATCATTCAACTAGATAGATATGTTGCTGGAAATATTCATAACTTGGTATTCTATACAAGGATCAGGTCACGAATCTCCGAAGCCCATGAGAAATCTGACCATTCCATGTTTGCTTCTTCGTTCATCGTTGTCACTACTTTGCCTTATAACATGTTTGCACTACCAGCGCGGCCTTTGTTGTTTGGCTTTTGAGGGGTTTGTTTGAGCTTATACTTGAATTTTAATTCATTGGAATGCTCACCGTACATATCAACGTCGGTTGTGAGGTTAGCTTCGCACAAGAGAGCTGTTTGGGCAATCTTTTTCTACTTCCGTGCTACTTCTGTTTCACCAAATCGGGGTTTGAGGTAATTCCCACCATTACTGAAAGTTCCTTCTCCATTTCTGAGAGATTCTTATTTTATGGTTTCAAACTGTTTACTTTTTCAGCTTATGTTTTCTGGTTGGCCATGATATGTTTCCATCTCACCTCCAAGTGATTCTTTGTTGTCTCATCTGATACCAGATAGAGCTTCTCAGGAATAAGATCAATTGTTCAGTAGAAAGAAATCCCTCTCTTTCGAAAGGAAATCCCTCTCTCTCTCCCTTATAAATTTTTTTTTTCTTTTTTCCACCTGCCAGGAGCTTAAAGTTTTCATCCGGGTAGAAGTTCTCAGCCGGAAGCATCCCTGTTGGTGTTTTCTACAGCAGGCCCTTCTTCGTTGTCTTTCCCTTCAGCAGGCCTTCCTCCGGTGTTTTTTCTTAAAGCAGACCCTCCGAAATTTTTTTCTGCAGCAGACCCTTCTCAGAAGCTTTTTTTGTACTGCAACCCAACCTCCGCTGCTTTTCTTTGTAACCGACCCTTCATCGAGGTTTTTTTCATATCATAGCCCAACCTTCAGAGCTTTTTCCTGTGGCGGACCCTCCTTCGGAGCTTTTTCCTACAACAGACCCTCCTTTGTAGTTTTTTCCTGCAGCAAGCCTTCATTCGGAGCTATTTTACTGGTAGAGGTCCTTTCTCAGGCCATACCTTATAGCTTTCTCTACTGGTGTTCTTTCTTTTTATCTACAGGCCATGCCCTGCAACTTTCAGTTCAAGTGTTCTCTTTTTTCTTGTAGCCATACACTGCAGCTTTCGCTGTAGATTGACTACTTCTCTGCAGTCTTCTTTATAATATTACTTGTAGAAGTCTTCTGCTCACCTGCAGACACTGTAGAAACTGTAGTCAAAGGCAACCGCAGTCAACTAGAAGTCAGTTTTATCTGTTGATTGTCTACTTCCCCGCAAGCTTTCCTGCTATATTATTTGTAGGAGCCTTTTTCCTACCTACAATCACTGTAGAAACTATTGTTATAACAACTACAATGAACTAAAAATATCCCTAAATACTCTTGTAGTTGATTACCAAGTATGAGATGAAGACTTCAAGTTTTAACTCACAAAGAATTTTCCTCCCATTGGTTGATATTTTCAGATCTAAGTTAAACATGGTTGTCAACGATATGTCAACTTGAGAGGGGAGTTTTAGAATTTATATTAAGAAATAATTTATTCCTGTTAGAAGTTATGAGGATTAGATTTATTTTCTTGGATTCGATTTATTTCTTTTTTTATTTTAGATCTATTTTCTTGGATTGGATTAATTTCCTTTCTTATTTTATGCTTTCCTATTTTATGTTGTTATGAGGATTGTATTTATTTTCTTTCATTTTTTTTTACTTTTTTAATTTATGTTGTTTCCTTTATCTTCAAGTTATTGTTAGGAATTGATTAATTAGAGTTTTAAGTGTTATATTTTTCCTTTCATATTATTTTCTTTTTTTTGTCTTTCATACTCTAGGATTCATGTAAGAGTATTTATACTCTCTTTTAATATCAATAAAAAAATTCCGCTGAATTTTGAAAATCAGCAACTATATTATCAAGAAAATACTACTGACTAATACGCATACATAAGCACATACATATGTGCACACGCGCGCGCGAGCACACACACACACGCATGCATCCCTTTCCATCTTATTTATATTGCTTGAAGCCCTTTAATGAGTATTTTCAGTCGATCGTTGTTGTAAGATAACAATTTTGTTTGCCGTTGAAGTTATGCAATATTTTGCTTTTTTTTATTGCTTTGTGTCATTTCGGCCTGTCTTTGCTTTTTTCATAAATTGGCAATCCGCCCTTCTTGAAGCTTATAATTTCCTCAGCAGCAAATGTTTATTTTATTTCTTACATGTATAAAGATCGCCCGGCATGTTGAAAATTCCTTTCTGTCAAAAGTTATTCTTCGTGATGCTTATAGAGCTAATTTTGCAATCTTTTGATTAATTTGTTTATCAAAACAATTATATGATTAGCATATGTTATGGTCTATACCAATGCCAAAGTGGCACAATTGATTTCCAAAACTACAGTAATTTGAGTATTAGCCATCCTATTTTGTCACCAATATGTGCCATCCTTTATTCTGTTCTAAATGGTCATATTCTTGGATTTACAATCTCAGTCTCTCTCATGGTTTTTAATTTTCTTGTTTATTAATGCTGAGAAATCTATTATTCCATTCAGATTTCAGAGTCACTGTTTGCAAGCATAGTTGACCATCTTGTGAGTGTGGTTGAGTTAGAAAGCTCTGCTTTAACTTCAGTTTCTATGGAAGCACTTGGTCATATTGGGCTACGCCATCCTTTGCCAATTGATATCAATCATGGTACAGTCTCAGGTAACCTTTTCTCGATACTGTATTCTCTCTAGAAGAGGCATGATCCTTTGTTCCTGTCCGTGGTATTTTCTTATACTGAACAACATTTTACATTCACAGGCGGTGTATTACCAATTTTGCATGAAAAGCTGAAAAAGTTGATTGATGGGAATGATATCAAAACTATTCAGAGGATTGTTGTTGCTCTTGGTCATATTTCAGTGAAGGAGGCATCGATATCTCACTTGAAAATTGCTCTTGATCTAATTTTTGGTCTTTCTCGGTCAAAGGTATGCATCATCTAATCCTTGTGGATAGCAAAATTTGCTTTTGAGAATTCCTAATTTTTCGAATTTAGTAGCTGTTAATTTAGCCCCGAAGTTGTACTAATTGCATATTCAGGTTGAAGATGTACTCTTCGCTGCTGGTGAGGCTTTATCATTTATATGGGGAGGTGTACCTGTGACGGGAGATGAGATATTGAAAACAAATTATATATCCCTTTCTCAGACATATAATTATCTTTCCGGTGAAATGTCCTCAGCTTCAATGAGATGGAGCTCTTCTGAGCTTAATGTTGACAATGAGTCTCGTGCATTGGCAAGAGAAATGATAATAAAGAAACTTTTTGATGAGCTTCTTTATAGTAACAGGAAAGAGGAATGTTGTGTGGGTACTGTCTGGTTAGTTTCGTTAACCATGTACTGTGGTCATCATCCTAAGATCCAGCATCTTCTTCCAGAAATTCAGGTATGTGAGTGTATAAAAGAAAATATTTTCATGAATCAAGTACAAAAGGGTTTTTAAATTGCAGGGTTTGTTGAGATTAGTATAAAAGAAAGGTTAGGGAGGAAGCTGACTCGCCACCTTCTTGCATCACTAGTTGTCCCACCTTTTTTTTCCAAGACTGTTCATTTTGCATTAATATAAAAATAAAAATTACAAAAGGAGGCTAAAAAGGTGCCAAAAGCCAAAAATAAAAGAAGCTGCTAAGTAGCAACCCCACAAAATTTCTATCCTATATAACAAAAGGAAGCGAGGGATGACTGTCCTGTAGATCTTTCACAAAAAAGCTATCCTATAAAGAGAGCTGTGCACAAAAATTGGGAAGCCACGTTGTGAAGAAGTATAAAGAAATTGCACTTATCTAAACCTTCCAAAACCAACCCTCCCTTTCCTTTGCGTTGACGTTGCCTCCCAAAACTGCGTCTATCTTGCTGTCACCCCAAGCGGTAGCTAATGCTATTTTATCACTGTCATTCCACTGTCCAATCCCTGGGCTTGCTGCCATCCCCAAACCAGAAACCCACAATCCTCGTACTACTGCTATTATCGACCACCATGCCTGGATCAACCTATTATGGGGACGTATGTGTGCCGTGTATGCTATGTTTTTCCCTTTCAGGTGTGTTTTTTTGTAATCACATTGCTTTCATTAATAATATTTACTTTTCTTTTGTTGTTTGGGTTAACTCTTGATTTATTAGAATCCGAGGTAGCCTAACCCTCCCATCCTAGGGTTATCTCAATCCTCCACTACTTAACTCAAAAAAAATTATTTTCTACCCTTCATCACCCGTGCACCTTCTACCGAGCGAAACCCAAACTTTAAGCATGCCACCAAAGGGACAGTAGCCAAAGACCTTATTGGGAGGAAATGATATAATGCTCTTTTGAGAAATCCGGAAAGAGACGTTTAGGAACTTAACACGGAAGAGGTGCTACGGGAAATCCTCGGATTGCCACAAAAGCTCACCACATTCAGAAGGAGGCAATCCGTAAGGGTCACCCGTAGTTGAAATTGCGGCCCAGAGAGAAGGTTTCGTTGGGGCAGTTTATAAATGGCAAGACTACTGATATCCCTTCTGCCCAACTTTTTTGCAATTTTATTTACCTTTGTTGAGAGGGCTCTCCTTCCCTCTAATCTTGCGGAGATTGGAATTATTATTTGGGATGAGCAAAGCAAGGGTCTCATCATTGAGGGGCACAATTACAAGGTGATCAAGTTTCTTAAAGAGATGATGGACAAGAAGATATGACAAAATAATTTAGAATATAATTACCCGAAAATCAAAATATTAGTTTCTTACTTAAATTCAAGCAAGATTTGTTTATCCATACAAATAGAGAAAGCCATATAGCCACCCATACTTTTGCAAAGAATACTTTGAATAGTGATTTTTTTTAATGAATGTACATGAGCAAGATCCTCTCTTTTGTCTTACGAGAGGACCTTGACAATTTTGCCAATGTCCATGGGGCATAGCCATTTTTTGCCTTTTTTGAGCCCTTTTGGGCATAACTTGTATGCTTCCTTTAGTTTTGAATTTTAATGCAATATGTATTCTTCATGGAAGGGACACCCGTAGCCACAATAATGACTTGCAAGATCGAAAGAATGCGGTAAATCTATTTCTCCAGGAAAATTCCAGAGATGAAGCCACGATCTTGAAACAAAGGTAGATTTGCCATATTTTGATGGTCACTTGGATCCAGAAGAGTTCATCGAGTAGTTCCAGATCGTGAAATATGCTTTTGACTATCTAAATGTTCAATCGAACAAAATGGTGAAACTAGGTGCCGACAAGTTGAAAAAGAGTGCAGCTTTGTGGTGGAAGAACTTGATTGTTCGGCAACGAGAAGAGAAGAGTAAAAAGTATTACATGTTCTAAAATGAAACAAGAGATACAACACCGGTACTTACTAATTCTTTAAAGAAAGAATGTTTAGATCCTAGCTTCAAAAGTGGAGGGACAATACAAACAAAGTTCAACACTAGTATCACACATCCAGAGTACACTCAAGGGAACATCCAAGCTGACCCTACCCGAGAAACTAATTTAGAGTGGGTAATTGGTGGAGCCAAACAACATTTCCAAAATTCTCCAAACAAGAAAGTACTTCAATTGCCACGATTTTGGGCAGAGTGCATCGGATTGTCCAAACAAGTGTACGCTTTATTTCACTAAGTAGAAAACAATTGAAGAAATGAGCAGTGACACAACAGACATTGGAAAAAGTGTGGACACAAAGGAGGACTACCATCTATCAACTTATAAGATGGAGAGATGTATATAATTTGAGCTAAAATGAGAGATGCCTTAACGGAGTTAATAATATATTTTATAAAAGGGAGTGATCCTGAGGCAACATACTTTCATGCAGAATATGAGATTGTGGTCCTTCAAACCACCTTTTTGCAGGTGTTTAGAAAAGCATCAACTGAATTGTTATGAGATGCACAAAGAGGTCATGAATTTGAAGAGATGATACTAGACACAAGCAAGAATTTTAGAAGTTTTAGATAAATTGTCTATCTACTAAGTTTTTCCTATTGAGAGAGATTTAACATATTAGAGATGAGATGCTTTTGATCTTCTTATGGAATATCATATGTGGTCATTTCGGTATTAAATTCTATTCAATTGTGTATCGACCAATAGATGATCACATATGAGGGATGACCCGCAGTGTTTAAAATTGCCTTTGGAGCTTCGTGGGAAACAACATTTTACAATGGAATCCAGGTCCTTTCAAAGAAAAAGAGGAGGCATCTTCTGAGTAGTTGCTATTGAGAATTACCCAACTCGCCACATATTTCAGTCCAGTGTTAGTTTCTTTAAAAGTATTTTTCATTAGATCAAAATTGCGAGTACGGGGATTTGAAGGTCAAATTATAAATTTAATGACTCGAGAGTTACTTTATGAAAAACTACTTTTCTATGCAGCTCCAACTCAGGTTGTGCTAGAAAAAGATGTATACTTATTATATCATGATATGCTTTGGATTGGTAATGCCTCCATGACTGAAGTATCATGAGATTATGTCCTTTCCGCTACCTTCAACGTGGTCGACTTGACGTCATACTATATGAATACAAAAACTTTGACGAATGAGGTTGAAACTCTTCCAACCCGAGAAGACTAACACCGACGTCTCTCGCAACTTGGATCATGTGTAACATTCAAGTCTCACAAATGGCGCGGAGCTGGATCGAGCCACTTCTTTTTAGATTCCTTTCCAATTTTCAACATATTTTCTTTTATTTTTTTTTTCCTTTCTAGTCCTTTCTTACATACGTTTTGTATTAGGGTTTAAATTTTCAATTTCTATTGTATCTTTTGTCCGGACAGTCGTGGGAGTCTCCGATTTCCCCTTCTAGGGTTGTATCCAAGGGTGAGTGTTGCTCTGGCTGTTTCTTGTTTGGAGGTAGTGGCTATCATTGACTTTACCTTCCTACACAACATTCACAAACCCGGAGAGCGGTGCCTAAGTTGTTTCCGCAGTCTCCACACCTTTATGCTGCCCTTCTCAGTCTCCTAGCATTGCACTGGTGTTTTCCATCCAACAGTCAACCAATTTGCTGCCTCCTTGCCCTCCTTTCCCCCGCTGCAGTCGCCAAACAACTCTTATAGCTATTTCTCACAGTCCAATTTGTTGCCCCCTTCCAGAACTCCACACACACCAGTTGTTGCCTTCCAAAACCAACCTTCCCTTTCCCTTGTGTTGTCGTTGCCTCCCAAACCTGCGCCCACCTTGCTGCACCCCCAAAAAAAAACTACTATTGTTTTATCGCTGTCATTCTACTTTCTAGCCTCCCGGGCTTGCTACAATCTCCAAATCACAACCTCACAATCCCATGTATCTGAGCTCATATTTTCTGCATCGTGATTGGCAAAATGAAACTATGTTGTATCCGCCATTCAGATTGTGCCATACTCTTTTTTCATATTTTACTGGTAATTTTAAAATAGATCACGTTTAGCTTTAATAAAATTTTTTGATGGAAGCTTGATTAAAAGGTTTTGTTGAAAATAAACCTATATCTGTTTATTCAGTAAGGAAACATTTTTCCATTAATTAGGGTCTGTTTGGGGCAGCTGCAGCTTATTCAGCTTATGTTGATAAGCAGCTTATTCTGATAAGCTGCGTATCTGCAGCTGATTCTAATAAGATGTTTGCATGTTTGGTTTGTGTGTTTCGAAAACAACTGATTTCCAGCTGTTTCTAAATAAATGACCATTATGCCCCTGAACTGAATAAACTGTTAAATTATTTGGTTTTTGCGGTTTGAGAATAGTTGATTTGCAGCTGTTTTTGAAAACATAACCATTTCGGCCACACGCAGTGGAACTATTTGCAACAGTAATATAATGAGAACACATTCAATATACTAAAATCCAAAAAAACACTAGAAAACAGTTCAAGGAAAAAAAAGATATGCTCCTCACTTAAGGGAGACTATCTACAAACCTATTAAAGAACAAAAAATATAGACTTCAATATAAATATAGACTTACTCTATCGATACACAAACATAAAATTAAACATTTGAATTATAGATTTCAATATAAATATACAGAAGGAACGAAACCCTTTTGCAAGTATTCAATTGTACAAAAAGCTTTCATGTCCATCATTGCAAGAAAAAACTTACTTTATATATAATAATATTTGTTTATTTCCTTTTCATATTAATTTTTTATATTGTTTTTTAAAAAATGAATATGAGATTTGGTTGGTATAAATGTAAAAAGTAAAATTTCTACGTCGAATTGAGCGGAACAAAAACAGGCCGCACATTTACCCAATCATTTCAAAAGGATAAATCTTGGGCTCACTCAGAACCTATGCAATAAATTTTAACTTATGCAATTATATTTCACTGTATAACTTCTTACTACTTCTCACAAATTTTTATGATGTAGCTAATGTTTTACAATCAAATTTATTATATCAGAATTAGATCTCCAGACTTAAAATTCATCCAAAAACTAGCAATTTAACATGACGAACAATTCAAACAAACTCATAGTAACACAACACATAGTTCTTGAAGCTTTTATTCAAACTTCAGACAAACAGACATCAGCAAACTAGAGACGAGTAAAGAAGATTTCATGAGCATAACACTTGGAATATGAGCATCTTGTTGCTCCAATTCTTCTTTTGCATAGTACTTGATGGAACACCTTTTGAAAAAGTGTTTCTGTTTATCTAGTCTCGTTAGGAAAAAAATTAGCGATCGCAAGCTAGGGCAGAGAGCGGCGGATCGCGATTTTTTATGTGAAGGGTAGCTGGAGTAATTCGCGATTAAACGCAGCAAGGAAACACTGACTGCGGGGGTAATATTGCGGCTGAGATTATGCGAAAATTTCAAACTGTGTTTTTCAGAACGCTGCTCAAACATGCAAAACAAACATCACAACGACGTTTTGAAAACGCCGCCGCGGTTTTAAGCTGTCCCAAACAGACCCTTAATCTAGCTTCCGCGCTAGGAAATCCAACATCTTTTATCAGCCAAGTTTTAAGTGGGCTTGTCAGGTTTTGAATCCAGCTACCACTTAATTTTCTTCATTTTTCTCTATTGAAGATGAGTTTAATTGTTTGCATTTTTTAATTGATGGGAAATTTAATAAAATATCATTGATCAATCCATTGATCGTTAATTTAGATTGCTTAAAAGTGGATTTTATTGCTTCACTATTTCATGAAGGTATCTGAGGAATATTAGGAACTATGGTGCATAATTTTTATTGAAGTTATTTTTCAACTGTTGAGTTTCTCCTCATGGCGAGATTTCAATTTATGCAAGTGAAATTAGGGCTGGTGTTAGTGGTTAGTGACAGGTGAAGGGTTTTCATGAGTGCTGACTGGGGTGTTAATCATGTATACACTCAAATCTGCTTCGTGAATACCAAGTTTCTTTGGCGTAATAGCTAACAAAAACTTCCTACGTAAGTTTTATTTATCTCCTGAAATATCCAAACACAAAAATTACTGTATATGATTTTCTACAATAAACAAAATAATTCATCTTTTTATTTTCAAGGCTTTTTTCTTTTTTTTGTTCATTTAAATAGAATTTTCTGGAACTTAATTTTTTTTGCATTTTGTATCAAATAGAACATTTTTCTCTTGAATATTCTTTATTAATGACTGATGCTTTTAAATCAGACAAGTGACAGTTTGACTTGCCCTATCACTTTTTTCTTAATTTTCTGGTTTCATGGTTTGTCAGGAAGCATTTTCACACCACCTTGGTGATCAGAATGAACTTACGCAGGAATTGGCTTCTCAAGGCATGAGCATTGTGTATGAACTTGGTGACATGGCTACTAAGCAAGAGCTAGTTAATTCTTTAGTAAATACATTGACAGGTTCAGGGAAGAAGAAAAGGGCTATTAAGGCATGATATATTATATATTTCATATTTGAGCTTTGTATTTAGCATTCTTTATCTGTCTTCCTCTTTGCTTTTTTCTTTTATTCTATGAAGTTTTGCAGTATCTTAGGCTTTGAATTTTTTTGTTGATTGTAGTTGATGGAGGACTCTGAAGTATTCCAGGAAGGAGCTATAGGCAAAAGTCTTAGCGGAGGAAAACTCAGCACTTACAAGGAGCTTTGCAATTTAGCAAATGAGATGGGGCAGCCTGACTTAATCTATAAGTTCATGGATCTTGCGAACTATCAGGCATCTCTAAATTCCAAAAGAGGTGCTGCCTTTGGGTTTTCTAAGATAGCCAAGCTAGCTGGGGATGCACTTCAGCCACATTTGGCTGCATTGATACCCAGACTAGTTCGCTTTCAATATGATCCTGAAAAAAATGTTCAGGTAGTAAACATGCTAGTATCCATTTTGTTTTTATTTTACAGAATATTGTTTTTCGATTTGTATGGATTGTATAACAAATGCTCATGCGCTAAAACATTTTCTTAAATTCTTTGTTCCACACATACAATATGACTATCCTCTGGTTAAGTTATCATTGTAAACCGTAACTGGTGTAAAAGGTATTGTTGAATTAGTGTCATTGTGGAGTTAGATGCTCTATATATAGACTTCACATTATTTTATGAATTTTGTTGATTGTATTTTTTATTCTTAAAGAAGATTAAAACTTTTTAGGATGTTATAATTTATGGTACTTATGGTTGCCTGCATTCCAGATTTTGATGTGAAAATCTTCTCACTCATGATCTTTTGCTGCTTTGAAATAATGGTTCTTCTTGAGTTCTACCATATGCCATTTATATCCCCCTTTATTACAGCATTATTTTTGGATCATTGCACTTTGGTACTTATCTATGTTGCTAGTGACATTTACCATTAATATACTGCATAAAACTAACTTTATAAATAAGCAGGCTCTTAGAACCATTGAAGCAAATCCAAATTTTATTTGCATTGTCAGTTGAATATTAAAAATGTTGAGTTATTTTGTAAGCATCAGCTCTTACATCGGCAAAGAAAAAATGAAACATGCTATAGAAAGCCAAAGATGTTAAAAAAAGCTTTAAACTATGCCTTCTGTTTGGCATCTTGGTGCTTTTCAATCTAAGAGTTGATCCATGTTTTACGTTACTGCAGCAAAGCTTGATAGCTTCAGTTTTGATGCTTATGTTGGCGCCCTTGCTATTTTTGTCTTGACTCATCGCTCGCCCTTGCCCTGAGTCTCTCATGCACAATTACATTGTGAGACTTCTATTATGGTTGCTTGTATTCCTTTCGGTTTACCCATTATGCCTCTCCCATGTCTTGTGCTCTCTACTCTTTGCAGAGGTTATTAGGCGTGATATGGGAACAAGTCTTCTTCTTGATTGCTTTCGTTTCCACATATTATGTGCTTTGTGCTGCCCTCAAGGCTTGTATCTTTCCATTATTGGTTCGTTTGCCAAAGGTTGGCCATCAGGTTCATCATCGTTTCCCCCATCAACTACTTTAAGTTAAATACAATCAATTTATAATCTAAATTCTAAGACTGATGTTACTATATACTAAATGTTCAATACTTAATGACTAGTTTTAATCAAAAGTGCTCTCTTATTATCAGAAGGGCTAATTAATCTGCACCCATGGGAAACCTCAAATCCCATATCAATAGTCATCGCAAAATGAAGGTGAAATCTCTAGGTAGTTTCTTATCTACAATCCAATCTACCTTGTAAAATTGGACCCGAAACACCAAATACAAAGTTAACAACAATAATGAGAGTTCAAGGCATCAAAATTTTAGAGCCCACGAGATGCATTACAAGTATGTACTAACATGTTATAGACAAAAGATATTCTTGAGATTTTCTCGCAACTATAAGAGCTCGCAATAAATGAGTACACAATTGAGTTTAAGCAACTTACTTTAAAGTGTGAGCTAGTAGAGCTCGAATAGAGCACCATAGCTTGATATTTGCAGGGATTGAGATCAACCATTGACAACATTGTATATTTATAACTCTATTGGACATTACAAGATGTCTAAACCCTAGCTCTGAAGGCGGAGAGAAAACATAACAATATCAAGTCCACCACCCTAAATAGGGTTTAAGCATTGCATCAGGTAGCAAGATTACACACAGTGGATCACCCAAGCCGACCCCACTAGAGTAGAAATCAATTCAAAATGGAGAAAATGTGGAGACTGACAATACTCTTAAATCCATCCCAATTAGGAAATGCTTCAAGTGATACAATTTTAGTCACACTATGTCTGATTGCCCAAATGAAAGGGGGATATCTTTCACTAAGCAATGAGCAGTTGAAGATATAAATAGTGGCACAGAAGAGAATGAAGATGTTGGAGAGGAGTGTTAACTTCCAACCGATAAGGAAAAGATGCTAATAATTCAAGCTAAGTTAATGAGAGAGACTAAGAAAAGTAATATTAGTTGTCATAGAAAATAACAAGTTTGATGAGCTAATACCAGAAAAGGGGCAACCCCTGTTGAGGGAGCTATTAGATATCCTAGCTAATAGTTTATCTCTTGGGTGATTGTCATTGAGAAGGTTCAAGTTATCTTAAATTTCATTTTTAGGCTGATTGATTCCTCCAGACAAATTTATTGGATGAGCCCACCCAAGTATGAGGAGCGGGATAAGCAGGTTACCAATTTAATAGTTAGAGACTTGGTTCATGAGAATACTATTTATGTGTAGTTTCAATTCTGATTATTCCAAAAAAAAAGGACGATTATTTATTTTGTCGATACAAATTTTGAAAGAACATACATCATTCAAGTCTTCTTAGGTTGATGTGAGCATAGACTTTGTTCTGGGCTCCCCAACCGTAGCAGTATAATGATTTTGTTATGTTGGTAGATCGATTCCAGAGCCTTCCAGAGAAAAAAAAACCTCTTCTATTCAGGGAAATGATGTGGGAATTTCTCGCTTCCACTGAGATCCGCAAAATTTCAAAGTAAATGGGATCTTCTGATCCCATTGAGTTCCCAGATTGGAAATTATGTAGTCTTGTGTTAATTGGAAGGCTATTGCACCCGATATCATGACTCGTTGCTTATTTTAGCCTTATTTCTCTTTCTTTCTGAATTGTTCCTATTTTTCTATTTCTAATTAGGTTTTTTTTCTATTAGAAAACTCTTATGTATGTTTTATTGTCGCTTTTTAAGCAACTAGCTATTGTGTTTGTGTTTTGTAAGATTTTGTTTTCTGTTTATGCTCTTTGGATTATTGTATCTTTTTTTTTTTTTGCAATTAGTGTGTTTGTATCTTGGTTAGAAACAAGTGGTGGAACTTCCTTGCTGCCAGTACCTTGTCGTTTCGTTGTTCAACCCACTATTTTCCAACCGAACAATCGCTGAACTCCAATCTAATGTTCAACTGTAAAGTTCATCCCTGATTCCCTTCCATACATTGTCGACAACCCCAATTCTCTTTCTAATACCACTCCATAGCTATCTACTCATAATACCCGCTTCCAAGGCACCTTCTAGGAGTCCTAGAAGGGTTTTACAGTGGCTTTGTACACGGAGTGATGAGAATTTGAGAGGTTTCTCAAATCATAGAAACTAGTTGATTGATGAAGTGATCATGTCTAAAGGTTGTGGATGAGCAGCAAGTGCAATATTTGGCAACAACGTGCATGTGATAATTGATCTTGAGGCAAGTTATCATATTATAATTGTCGTTGGTGAGAGTCGACACTAATGAGAAGAACTATACGAATGTAGCAGGTGCTAGTGAGCATAATAGAAGCCTATGTGTGAGAGTGGATTTTTTGAGCATGAATTGGAGTGGGCCTCCGAGATTAGAATTGGGTAGGTATCTTGCGGATACAGCTTGAACTTGCTTGATTTTGATATTATGCTAGAGGAGAATATTGTTGTGATTCATTAGAGATTCCCTCATTTCTTATTGGGGGATGTGTACATTGTTTTAGTGTATAGCCAAATAATATATGCTACTCTCCAAATATAGAGAACTCTTATATCTAATATAGGTTTTGCTACAATGGGTTGTAAAAGTAGTAGTACAACTGTTGTGGTGAAACATCCTTTGATATGTTCAATAGTAATTATAAAATTTTCTTTTTAAAAAGGATGACCAACAATTTTCTCATAGCTAGCACATTCTAGCATATTTGTTCATGAAAACATCTTTTCACCACCTATGTTTTAAAATGAGAGCGTGAAAGTTATAGTCAAACAGAATTACAACAGTCTAATAGAAATTAATGCTGCCAAAAAGCTGTCTCAAATGAACCTATAATTTCATGCTATTTGTTTGGAGTTGATTCATCTACTGTGCCTGCTCTTATTTTTCATTGAACAATTCATTGGGGTTTGGAAAAATTTTTATCAATCACTTTTTTTTTATGGGATTTGATTTTTTTTTAATGAAGTGATGGTATGCTCAAGATTTCTTTCACTAATGAGAAAGAATTTTCTCCAATCTATCAGAGTGATTGTTCTTGGTTAAAATAGTTCTTCTTGTAGCTACTTTTCCCTTGCTTATGTAAATTTTGAACGTTCTCAAAATGCCATCATCAATGAGGGCCTGTGAAGCATAGGCACTTCAACCAACTTTTGTTTTCCACATAAAATCATGTTTGATGTATTTATCTCCAAAATTTGATTTGGATGCAACATGGAAATGCGTTGCTTCAAGGTCGGTAAGCACACAAAGACGAAACATGCATGTTTTTAGTGGTAATGATTGTGGTTTTGTAATATTTTTATAATTCCATTTTGTTTTATTTTAAAGATCCTATACTTGGATTTTTTATTTTAAGTCTGTGTAGAATATATAATTTTGATATTAACAACATCATATTAAATAATGGATGCTATTGCCAGTCTGTTGTTAACAAAATGTAATTTAAGTGCAGTTGATAAAATATGGCATTGTAATTGTGATTCGACAATCGTAAATTTTCTATTTATTGATTCTTTTTGTGGTGCACATGATATGATACTTTATTGAGATGCTTATTCTATGAAATATTGACCTTAGTTGTTTTGATTACATTTTATATTAATAATTTATAAAAGATATCATGACATATCATATTGTGCTCTACTTCTATGGGTATATAGTTTTCTCACATCTATGTTGTGCCTTGTTTGTGCTTTTTTTTCGGTCCCCAGCTTCTTATTTATGAGTTAACAAAAGCCTAACTATATAGAGAAAATTATGTGTTTAATACTAAATTAAGCTCAAGCCTTCTCGTGCTTTGACGACTCAGAATGTTTTTTTTTTTCCCTACTTAAAAATCTATGATAACCTCAGTCATAATACCCTTCATGTGATCACTGATTCTACATTTTGGATTATAGAACATTTTAATGATTTGAGTCAACATTTTGAATTTAAGTCTCACTACTCAAATTTGTTTTAAATTTTAATAAATTAAATGATTTATGCTATTTCTGCATGTATTTGCTTTGAAAAATTGGCAACTCTTCTCAATATTTTGCGCCCGCTGGTAATATTCATCCTTTAATTTTGAGGGTTTATTTATATCCTAGTTGATATTTGTTTAGCTATGTTGTCATTTTAACCATTTGGTATATTCTTATGCATCCCATTGAAACTTTAAGAACTTTCCTGCAATTTTTTATGTGTGGTATTTGTTAACTAGTTTCTTCCATTCAAACGTTTTTTTTTTTCTATTTCAAGTCATGTTAGCTCTATGGATTATCTACCTTATTCAAACGTGTTTTTATGTGACGTATTTGTTAACTAGTATCTTCTATTCAAACGTGTTATTTTTTTTTCTGTTCAACTCATGTTAGCGCTATGGAATATCTGTCCTACTACTTAGAAACCCTTAAATGTTTTTGTTAGGATGCAATGGCAAACATATGGAAGTCTCTTATTACAGATTCAAAGAAAGCCATTGATGAATATTTTGACCTCATTGTCGAGGATTTGTTGTCGCAATCTGGATCAAGACTTTGGCGTTCTCGTGAAGCTTCCTGTCTTGCCCTTGCAGATATTATTCAAGGCCGAAAATATAGTCAAGTATGTTTGGCTTTCTTTTTCACATCCCCGGCACTTTCTACTCTCATAATGTTTTTATTAAACACTCATGCCTTGTTTTTGTAGGAATTAGTTTCTCAACATCTATTTTAATGGCTGATTATTCTATAAAATGTCTCTATTAACTTTTGTTATAGAGGTTACAAGATTGCCAATGATAATTTCCCTTTTCAGGTATCCAAGCATTTAAGAAGAATCTGGACGGCCGCTTTTCGTGCTATGGATGATATTAAGGAAACTGTTCGAACTTCCGGTGATAGTTTGTGTCGTTCTGTAACTTCACTGACTATTAGACTGTGTGACATCTCTCTTACTCAATTATCAGATGCAAGTGAAACTATGAATATTGTTCTTCCTTTCTTTCTTGAGGAAGGGATTGTAAGTAAAGTTTCTAGCATACAAAAGGCGTCAATTAACATTGTAATGAAGCTTGCAAAGGTATGGAATATTAATTGATAGTTATTCTGAATTTTTTTTTCATCATACGTAATACTGCAACAAGTAATTTAAGAAGCTAGACAGGAACGTCATTCTTTTTTAATTTTTTAGGAGAACTGTTTTGTTTTTTTCTCTATGCTTTTCATGCTATCTTTAGCAATTGCATACTTCTACTGGTCCAACTTAGTCTTCTTACACTGACTTTAGTTATCATTTGTTTCATTTTTAGGGAGAACTACCATTATTGTCCCAAGCTTGAATGAGAAAGGTTGTGAGCCAATATTAGACTATTTGTCATGTTTCTTATGTCAAAATTAATAATGAAAGAATTTGTGAATGATAAGTTCAATCTCACATGCAACACTTAGTAGGAATAAATAATATAGAGAATTCACAAAGACGAGTTTCAATAGTTGTGACAGGGCTAGTGATTTTCTTCTTAGAGTAAAATTTGTAATCAATCAATGAAATGAGTACAATTTCGAACAATTATAAAGTAGTCGTTGAAAAATACGATGAAATTAATGTATCCCGTAAAAAACAATTAGATAGTAAAGAGGAGGAAAGCATGATTAGATCTCATTTAAAGCAATATTGCTTGAAGCTTGGTGAGCACCGGTTAGTGATGATATATTTTATTTTAATTTCCACCCCTACTAGCAAATAGAGTTTCAATCCTTTTAATCACTTGAGCTTCTACACTAGGAAACTAATGTCCAAGTCATAAGACTATGAGTTCGGTTGATCATCCTTCTCGGCATTAGGTTTATCATAAAAGGATAATAGATTAGATGGATTTGGATAATAGTCTTAACATGAAAGAGGCACCAACCATGTCTTTTTGGTTGAGTACAACAAGAGAAGGCTCTGATTCCAAATCATGATCTAGATTTGGTTCTAAATTTTGTGTACAACTGAGATCAAATGTAGTTGGAACTGCAACCACGAAATTGGACTGCATACTTTGACCCATTGAATGCTCCTCTAAAACCCGAGTGCTAGGATCAATGTTAGTTGATTTCCGCTATTTTGGGCGAGCGTTGAAACGTCATGTGTAGTTTTGTTTAATTTTTTTTTTTGGCAAAAATAAAAATATGATGTTATTCCTTCAAATCATACCATCTATAAGGATATACTGTAACACCCAATTTTGAGATTCCAGGTAATGTTCGATAAATTCTAAAATTACCTCAATGTTTTACATCTTTTGAAAGTCAATTGAATTATTTTTATAAAATTATATGTATGAAATCCATCAATTTGATGAAAAATATTACATATAAATTTTTAAGGGATTGAGAGATGTGAAATTTAGAAGTTAAATGTTTTATTAACTTAATTAAAATCTTAATTATATTCCTAACCTCAAATTTAATGTTCCCACCCGACCTTCATGCCTTCAATTTGCTGGCTTCGGTCGAATAGGGTTCCAGAGAATTGAAATTTCCTCCCATCTCCTGATTTCTTTCCTTACTCTTGGTTTTTTTTGCTTAAAGTCTCTCTCGTTCCTCCTTCCCGTGGGTTTCGCTCCACCCTTGTAGCGAGGTCACAACAAGGAGTGAACTGGGCGACCCGCCAAATGCCACATGCAGTGATTTAGGTTCTCGGGATGAAATCTTAAAGTGTGAGTCATTCTTTCACGCTATTTGAGACTTTTATTTCCTTCCTCATATTTTTATTTTGATGTTTTTCTCGATTTTCGTGCATTTTTCATTTTTGGTAATCGTCAGTGTCGGCCAACTTTTTGGAAATTGAAAATAATTTTTAAATTTAATTTAATATAAGTGGTATATAGTTTTAATTTTGAAAGTAGTGTTTTTTAATTTTTGAAAAATGAAATCAAATAAATCTCAATCGTCCAATTGTCTATATATTCGTGCTCGATACCGAGAATACTATACCTTCCCAAAAGATAAGTATATACCTCGGTGATGGACCCAATCATATAGACTGAGGAATTTGTGACATCCGTTTGATTTATGAATCTTTTATGTGTGACTGACAAATTCTCCTATTTAATACAAAGATTAAATAAAATTTATTTTACCAAAGCTTCAAGTTCTCTATAGAGGTAAACCCATATAGTTAATTACATTCTAAATGACTTGGGTCACTTGAGAAAACTCTCGATAATGATTAGAGGTACTAGTCTTCAAGAATTCGAAGCAAGAATTCGAAGTTTAGGTTTCGAAGTTTAGGTTTCACGGTAGGATGTGAAAAAGCAAGTGAGAGTGACTCAAATTGGAACAGCTATTTTCAAGAGTCCAAAGGAAGGAAAAGGTAGGGGATATCACAGATTTTGAGGAGAACACTCAGTGAATTCCAAAACTATCCTGCTGTGTGACCGCATTTTGGAGATGATGCAAGTGTTCAATCTTGTCAGTTTTATTATTTGAGAGTTACTCTTGCATAATACCCGATTGTGCAAATAACCCGGAAAGATAAGGGAGTTTATGTCGTACCGGACAACATCCCTGGAACCTAAGGCGAGTTAGGACTTACGCTGTACAACATGATTGCACAGGAGCTTAAAAAGAGTGAGGATTTAAGTCGCGTTGGGCGAGCTACCTCGAAGTACTATGATTTGTCATTGTTTAAACTTGGGAGAGAAATTGCTGAAGAAGATCCTCTTGTTGCTTGATACAAGTTCCTTGTCGTGCTGACCACAAAGTTGGCTCCAAGCTCCTTATTGAAGTAGCAGTTCTAAATTCTAAGATTCAAAAGGTTTTACCAGGTAAGTTTAAGTGATAAGTTTTGTTATTATTCAAGCATTATGGGGGGTTAAAGTTGATTAGAGTGACACCAGGTAAGATCATACGGTTCCCTCGTTCCGGCACCACTATTTTCTTTTGAATTTACTTAGTCTAAACGAGTTGTTAAGCTCATTTAAACTGCGGAGATCTTGTTAGCAACTGTGGGTTACCTTATTCGAGGGACTCCTGCAAATTCAAAAGTACGTGTTATGCTTTTTGTTTTGTTTTGAAAATGTGTTTAATTTTGAAAAATGGTTTTGTAATTTTTAGTTTTGATATATGTTTTACAGATAAAGTAAATATATACAGATAAGAAAAGTGTTGTAAAGTAAATAAATAAAATTGCATTGATAAAATAAATGCATACTTGGGCCTCTGCTATCACTGCATGATTAACATCATTATGCTGAATATATTTGCAGGAAATTTAAATAACGTGCAGAAAATAAACAGAGGCAATCAGTATGTGAAAGTTATATCAAAACACAAGTAAATGAAAACTCATAGTCACATATGAAAGATCAGAACTGAGTATAAGACATTAGTAAATGTGGGGGCTCAGAGCTGGACTGTTTGCTTCCCGACTTTGATCAAGAGCTACCAATACGACAATCTACGAAGGGCAGCCCTTAACCCTGATCCAAATGACTAATCATGGACTTCTATAAGTTTTCATTAAAAAATTATTTGAATTTCATGCAAAAATCTATTTTTTAAGTTTTTTTTAACATGCAAAAGAGATTTTATTTTATTTTTGTAAATATTTTGTAAAGTAATTTTGTTCACAGGCTAGTCATTCTAATCGGGCTAGGAGTACTGGCAACCTAAGAGCGCCGGGAGCAACAATCTCACAAAGAGTCGGCGATTAGTATCATCAGTTCTCTCCTCTCCCCTCGTTGAAGGTCTTTGAGATGAGAGATATTATTATGAAAATCTTACTTCATATCCCTCGCTTAAGCACAAATAAGCAATGTCGTCATCGCCCTCGCCACCTAGGCCCTAGACTTATTCTAGTCTGATAATCCATGTGTGTTATTAACAAATGTTTCCAATTACCAGGAGGATTTCAGTGTAATATTCAAGCTCAAATCCTGGTGCATTGGGTTTCACTGTAGTTTAAGTCATGACGTGAATTTCACTAATTTTTTTGATTTAGAAACATGTGCTACATCTTGGTGTATCCTCATGTTTATTGTTGTAGTCAAGTGAATTAAGGTCAAGTGTCTAGTTTCATCATTCATTAGAAAATTAGGTTAATGAACTACGACTTAGGGAGTGCTTATAAAATCTAGGAAGCCTACATTTTAATATGTGCTTGAAATGATTTAAGGTGTTTTACCCTCAATTAAGTGTTTTCCAACTAATCCTCAAATATCTTTAAGTGTCTTCCAAATAATTAAATCAGAAATCCTCATGTTAACTTCACCTTTAAAAAAATAAAACAGAAGAAAGGAAAATGTCGATCCACTTCCAAAATTAAGAAAGCCAAGGGAGGATACAACTAATGAATCAGCCTAAAAGCATTTAAGTTCATTCAACTGTAATTAAATTGATCCCCAAGAAGAGTGTTTAATTCTATTCCAAAATAGTGTTCTGATTGCCCAACAATAGCAATATTTAAAGTTTCCAAATCAACATGTAAATCAACGCTTAAATAATACCCAAAACCTTCCTGAAATTTGCCCCCCCCCCCCCCCCCAAACCCAAAGAAATAGTACTTTAAAGACTCCAAATCAACACTTTTAAAAACTCCAAACATCCCTATTTAAAGGCTCCGAACAACAATATTAAAGTTCCCAAACAACTTTCATGTAAGCCCAAAAGCATCCATTTTAAATGCTCCAAAGTCAATTGGAAAACCCAGCCCAAAACAGTGCAAAAAACAACCGAAACAGTGCCAAAAATTGCCTCAAAATCAGCTCTCAAAACACTGCAAAACATCATTTAAATTTGTCTCGAAACACTTCAAAAACAATCAATATTTTTATCCCAAAATAGGTGCCCAAATCACTTCAAAAACAATGTGTAAATCCCAAGCATGCGGAGATATCTTTCTCATTAAGCAATGGAGCTACCTCTTATGCATAACCAAAGATTTGGGTAGTGTAAATGTAAAGAGTAAAAGCCTCGTGCAAGATATGCAAACATATATGAATCGAGTGATACGTATGCAAATCCTCAAAAGTCCAATTTGTTAGCAAAGGAAAGTGGTAACACAACCACCACATTATCACGAGCTTATGTTCA